TTTAGATGCCAAATTGTCCCAGGAAAAAGGCAGCGCTCTCCGGCAACGGCTGTGTGGCTTCGCTCCGCAGAAAAAGCGATTGACTCACAGCACCACGCCACTTCCCCCTCTTCGCTTCGGAGCCCGTTTGTGGGTTCCTTTGTGGGTTGGGGGGGCGCTAAGGGTGCCCGCCGTGTCCCACGGTCACAGGCTTCCTCCGCCTGTGATTTCCAGAAGGGTCCCCGCTTCGCCGCAGTGGAAAAGACCCGTTTCATGTGGTGCTAGTCCCTCCGGTCTGGAGGGAATCTGCCATTGCCGATGGCGCCACCCCGGAAGTGATTTTTATAGGATTTTAACACTGTCCCCAAAGAGCCTTGGTCTCAGAGAAAAAACCACCATTTCTATTCCATCCACCCTTCCCCAAAACTTTAGTGTTGTCTTCCAGGACAAAATGTATGCACACTGGTACCTCGGGTTAAGAACTTATTTCATTCTGGAGGTCCATTCTTAACCTGAAACTGTTCTTAACCTGAGGCACCACTTTAGCTAATGGGGCCTCACACTGCCTCCATGCTGCCATCGCACGATTTCTGTTTTCATCCTGAAGCAAAGTTCTTAACCTGAGGTACTATTTTTGGGTTAGCAGAGTCTGTAACCTGAAGCGTCTGTAACCCAAGGTACCACTGTATGAAATTTATGTCTTGTTGCATCAAAACGGACTTGAAGTGAATCTACACTAGTGGTTTATAAAGTTAAAATGCATTAGTAAATTGTGACGCCACAGCTGTGAGCCACCAGCAATGGGAAACTGCATTAAACATTATGGAACATTATATTTAATAACGTTTAAAAGATCAATGTAGATACAGTGATGGAAAATCTTTACGTTACAGATGAAGTCACATTCTGATGGTTTACTCCCTAGAAGGTTAAGATAATTTCTTGTACATGCTAAAATGGCATCTCTCACCCTTCTCATTTGAGAACATCCCATGAGGACATGGATCACAAGCATAACAACAGAACTTCTTCCCCTCCTTCTTTTTCTTCTCATAACCAGGACGGCAGTTAGCATTACATAATGAAACGGGTGGCACCTATCCAAAGAGACACAAAGAGGTTAAAATTCATAAAATGTTTCAGGGATTCATCTAACATCAGGTGATCTATCAGTAAATAGAAGGGCCAGAAATCTTAAATGTAGGATCCACACTCTCAATATATGCAAAAGAATCTCTTCATCCTTCATATAAAGGAATTGGAGGTTAATATTAAGACAATATTTTAGGGGATTCGTATAACATCAGGTGAACTATCCGTAAATAGGAGGGCCAGAAATGTTAACTGTATGATCCATATGTGCCCAGGTGCCACATACCTTGGGAGAAAAAGCTAAAGTTCCTCTTTTTTAATAATAATAATAATTATTGACTATTTTCACCAAACAGATTATTCCAACAACTGTATTTTCCCCAGTTTCCCCCCATCTCCCCCACATACTCCTTCCCTCGCTCCCCCCACGACTTCCCTCAGTTCCTCTTTCTGATTTGTTAACACATATTATTCTCTGCATGTTATAAAAATGTAAAAATCTCTAAATTATCCATCTATTATATTAACAAATAGATTTGTGTATGTTTATTCAAAACCTGCCAAGGAGTTCTATTCATTTTGTTGTTTCTTTAAGTACTTTGTAAAAGGCTCCCATTCTTCTTTAAAGTCACAGTTGTCCTTATTGTGCAGTTTCTGCGTAAACTTTGCCAGTTCTGCATGGTCAATCAATTTCTCTTGCTACTCTTCTTTTCTCGGGGTTTCTTCATTCTTCCATCCTTGTGCCATTAAGACTCTTGCCGACGTTGTTGCATACATAAATATGTTCTTCACTTTCCTTGGCCGGTCTTTTACTACAATATCCGTAACAAAAATGCTTCTGGTGTTTTTTTTTTAAACAAATGTTAGTTTAAACATTTTCTTCAAGTCATTATATATCATTTCCCAAAATTTTTAAATTTCTCTACAATCCCACCACGTATGATAGAAAGTCCCTTCTTTTTCCTTACATTTCCAACATATGTATTAGCCAGTTTTATACATTCTTCCTGTCTGTACTGGTGCTATGTACCATCTATACATCATTTTCATGTAGTTTTCTTTCAATAAAGAATAATCTGTAAATTTAAATTAGTTTTCCACAAACCCAATCTTCAAACAATATATTATGACCTGTAACTTGTGCCCATTTGATCATGACTGATTTCACCTCCTCATCTTTTGTCTCCCATTCTAGCAGAATACTATATGCACCCCTAAGCAGCTTTCCCTTCCCTTTTGAAATCTAGATATCGTATAACTAAATCCTTTCTTATTGTCTTCTTTGTATATCTCGTGTTGTTGCCAATAGTGTAACCAGCTCTGAAAATGGTCATTTATTTCCTTGTAATCTCTTAATTTCCATTTTCCTTCTTGGTCCTTTAATAAATCAGCATACATGAGCCACTTTCCTTTTTTACTGAGTGGCTTGAGCAATAAAGCTTCATGTGGTGAAAGCCACCAAGGAGTCTTCTGTTCTAATAAGTCTTTATATCTCTCCCATACTCTCATTAGTGATTTCGTAATTATATGGTTATAAAAAATTTATGTATTTTCCCTTTCCCATACCTTAAATATGCATGCCATCCAAATCTGTTGTCATGTCCTTCCAGATCTGATGCTTCTTGCTTTTCCAACTTTATCCACTCCCTGATCCATACCAGGCATGCAGCCTCATAGTATAATTTAAGGTCTGGGAGGGCTAAAGAACCTCGTTCTTTTGTATCTGTAAGTGCTCCTCCTCAGCCATCGGGGTTGGGTCTGCTCTGCTCCTCCTCCTGCTTCCTTGGTCTCCCTGCCTGCCTACCTCCCTCGCTTGGCATACCATCTGCCCACCTTCTATCTCTTGCAATTCCATCCACCAGCCTCTCCTTTCTTCCCTCCGGGCCGTGCTTAGCACTCTGCTCACACTTATAATAATGACAACAGCTAACCAGGGATGAAGAACTGCACAGCTGCTCTGATGGCCAGTGCCACCAGGGTCATGGTCCAAGCGTTGGCTTCCCCTACTGAGCAGCAGCCTAAAGGAGCAGAAAGCAAAGTGACTCCACCTGCTGCTGATCTGCCTTCTTGCTCCTGATGAGAACCAGCAGGCTCCAGCTTTCTTAAGCAGGGTTTCCAGCCTCAGTCAGTTACTGGAAACAACTTTTGTCATTCCTGACCAGACCTTGCTGCTTCTTGTTTCTTGTGACCTTTGACTCTTGGCTTTCTTGAGACCCAGACTGTCGGACTACATGAACTGAGATACTCGTGACCTTAGGACTGGACTGGACCTTTTATGCGGACTCTGCCTCCAGGCAAGCAACCCCCTGAGACTTGACTGGTTGTCTGGCTTCTCCCTCCACTGAGCTCTGCCATGGCTGGCAGCACAGGACAAAGACAAGCAGCTGGATTCCTCCCTCGAGGCACTGAGAGGAGCCTGCATGCCTTGCCCAGCAGCCCACGGAGTACATGGATAGGCAGCTGGGCTCCAGGGCACTCTGAGCAAGGCATGATTTTGGGGGAACCTCCTAGGCCTGTGGCAGGGGCCAACCTGACAAACACCTCCGTACATTCCTGCTTCTATGATGGCAGCCCAACACTAGGGTCTCATGCAGTAACAGAAAAACTCATGAAGATTACAATGTTCATTCACAAAGATACAGTTAACGTAGCATTCTATCGAATGCCACTAAATAGAGAGCTGCCTTGTGGATTTCACAAACAAGCATGTAGGATGACACTCTGATAGCCAATGCTCTTTCTTAGTTTGACATGTCTTCTTTGCACATTGCTCTTTTTGTAGCAATGGTTCATTTTATAATTACTAATGGAATTATTAGTAGTGGCAGCAATAGCTGGGCAGCACTAGTCAAAGCTAGGCAAGCCACCCCTATTTTGCAGTGATTTCCTTACCTGAGTGAAGGCTCTGTGCCATTGAATTCCGTTCCCGTTAATGGTGAGCTCTTTTCCAGGAGGGGCCTGAGGATCCAGCCTTCCGACTTTGACCCTGACATAGGAATTATTTGGGAAAGTGACCAGGTTTGTAATATCAAATCCACCTGCTAATTCTCCATGTTCATTGAATGTAATTTCATCCCCAGCACTGTTGTTGAATGAGAGCCTCTGCAGGAATGAGTGTAGCTGGGTGGAAAGAGAATCAAAAGTTCTATGTAGTCTTGTAATAGCCTTACTAAGACAATTCAATAGTTTTCATGGAAAAAAATAAGTTCTTTTCCTCCAGGAGTTCACCACTTCAGTTCCCAATGGAGGGGACCCACATTTCAGCAGGGAAATCATGAATCAGTGTAAACTCCAGTCAGGAGATACGTTCAGAGCAGCCTTTGTTAAGATTCAATATATAAAAGGAATTTGAGATGATGGGCATGAAAAGGGCCAGGAGCTCTTTTTGAGCAATCTTGTGTGAGTATATATTCCTGGGTAGTAGGGATTATTTAGGGCACACAGTAGAGCAGTGTGCAATTGAGCCTTCATATGGAAGTCCTCACCTCTAAAGGGAATATGTTCTAGGTGGACTTGTGAAGGGGCTCCCACAGCAATCAATGGCAGACTAGCTACAACTTTTGCCACGCCTCTAGATGTACTGGACTCTTCCACTAGCCATCACATATCCAACACAAGTGGAGGGCATCAGCTCTTGGCTACAGCATGTCACACCACTGTGCTCTACACAGGACATAAGAAATGAGAGGGGCTTTATTGATGATATACAAAATGTCCCTAGAATTCATGTTCTGCTATAAGAAAGGCCCCTGCCACTGAAAAATAATCTTTACTTTGATGGAGGTGAGGCAGGGTAAGTTCAAGCAAATGTTTTCTATAATCAAAGGATCATATAATTATAGAGTTGGAAGGGATCACAGTAAAATTAGTTAATATTCATTTTGTTGTATTAAGATTTATTATTTTATTTAATATAAAGAAATCACAACCTATATCATACATCAGTGGAGTGCATAACACTGAGCAGGTTGTAAAGACTTTGTTACAGGAAACACTACCTGCCAAGGCTCTACATTCTGAGTGTTTCCGTCAATTGTCCTTTTGCAGATGCCTTCAGATGAGCACCTAATATGTAAGGCATGTGCCAGAGCATAGACAGCATTATAGATACTGTAGCTGTGGCCGGTCATGCTCATTTCAAAAAATGGTGCAGGGAGGCTCTCCAGCATCTCCTCTCCAGTACATGTACCCATAATGAGTGCTAATGCAGAGGAGTTTGAAACTGAACAAAGAAATGATTGTTCCCAGAAATCCTTAATGAAACCATCTGCATCTTGTCCAGAAGGCTTTACATCCTGCAGAAAGTCTGAGAAGTCTTGAATCTCCTTGGAGTGAATTGTAATGGATATAGCACCTTGGAGCATTTGTATATTAGGGTCAATCAGTTTTCCTACAATATTTGATGTGAAATCTATTTGGGCTGCTGTAATCCATACTTTCCCTTCAAGTTCATTCCTCACAGATTGATGAAGAATTAGCTGAATCATATTCCTTGCAATAAAAACACCTGTAAGCCATATAATAGATGTACTTTCTCCATATATAACAATCGCATTTGCTTTGCTTTTCATGAAAGCTGGTAAGGAAAGCTTTGATTGATCCACTATATCAAATATTTTAAAGCTGAATTGCACATAGTATACCGTTCTTTCTGTGAATGCTGAACAGATTCCATTTTTGAAAAACATTGGCTCAATAGCATTCAAGAAACGTTCTCCAGCTTCATTAGCTGGAGTGATGAGCCCAACCCATTTCCATCCGAAATGCAGAAGTAACTGGATAATTCCCTTGTACTGAAGATCTTCATTGGGCACCATGCGATAAAAGGAAGCGAATTTGATGTGATCATTTATTGCCGGTTCAAATGAACCATATGAAATCTGAAAAAGAAAAAAGCCAAACTTTTCTATGTGGAAACAAGAATTCACAACACACTCATTTATCTAATATAAATCCTATGCATTCCATCTTTTCTAATCTTAGAGAAAGGGCCACCCTCCCATTTACATAGAAAAACGCACAAAACAAACAATCTTGCTCATTTATTTATGTAGATATTGATTCCTATTATTGTGGTGTCATCACAGTCGCATACTTGTACACATGGATTGTGTCAAAGTCTGGAGAGCATTTATCCCTGCTCGTTTCCACATACTGCTTGGATAAATGAAAAAAACTTGATTTTGGAAATGGAGGGAGACAAACCATTGATCATGTTCTTTTGGTCTATAACCTTTAAAGCAGTTGTAGAGAGACTTTGATGGTTTATGTACTAAGAACTCTCATGGGAGTTCTCCTATAGGTTTCTTGAATATAATACATTTTATTCTTCTGTGATCAACAATAAACCATATCCTATATAATGAATCAAAATACTAGCAAAAATTAAGGCAATTAAAATGAAGTTCAGTAATGTAGCAGAACAACACAAAATTGGTACCACTATTTCTCTCTCCCCAAATGCCAGAAAAAAACACAAGAAAGGTGCTTTTCATTAGCCTCTGAAAGAGGACAGTGCTGAATAACATCACACTTCCACAAGGTGGGAATTTCATGATTCCTAGGGAGAGGGCCATTCTTGTCTTGAGTTATTTATGCCTGTGCAAGCGATTATCAACAGCATGAATTGGGATTGGTACTTTTCAGACAGCTAGGACAATGCTTGCAGAATTGAAATAATCTGAGCCCAATCCTCCACTAAATATATTAAACTCACATCTTTGGGAACATGGCTCTCTCTTAAAAGTTGGTTTATGCACATACGTCCTCAAATATATCAATATATTGCAACCATTTTCCTTTTTCAACTTGATACTTATGAATCAACAGCTTCCAGTAGAAGGAGTGTAGAGTGAACTACGGAATGACATATCTATTTTATGTACCTGTGGAATCTTGTAAAGACCTAAGATATCTGCCATGGATGAAGAGGTGTGAGAGCTAAGTCCCCCAATGACGCCTACTATTTTTTTCTGAATTCCACATATGTAGTTGGGGGCGAAACGATGTGATTTAAAGAGCAGGTGCAGAGTGTTTTGATAGGTCATCCTTGAATCAAAATAGGTATCATAGATGTGGAATCCAAGCGTGGCATTGGGCAAGATCTTGGGATTCCCATTGATCTCATCAACAGCAAAGACCAAGGCGAGGATGTGTTGGTAGAACTTTCTCATCACCCTACAAATATAGTGTGTTACTATTTTATGGGGAATAAAACAGTGCACAACATCGAGATGTGAGAGATTCAACTGCCCCTGTTAAATATTCTTGTAAATATCAAATTGCTTTGTCCTTTTAGAGTTAATGTTTGGATATTTCCTCCATCCAAGTCAGATTTTTATTTAGAAAGAAGAACATGGCTATGCTACAGTTACTGAAATCAGTTCAATATCCATTTGTCAGTACGCAGCTGTTCTTAGCAATAGAAATTGCTATGAAATTAAATAAAGGAATTGGCAGCTGCCATTTTGAATATGAAGAATGCCCAGTGATGAGATAGCAGTGATGATGGTAAAAGGGCTCTCCTCCCATTATTACTAAGCGTATTTAAAATGTATCCCCAATGAAAGGTTGCCATGATATATTACTGTGGGCAGGAGGATCAATGGCTAGAGAGCAAGTGGTGGTGATATGAAACTGCATCAGCTCAAACACAGTTGAAGTTTCATATCTTCATCTTTACCAGCACTGCGTCCACAACCAGCTATCAGGAAGAGCTTTTCAGTGTTGAATATTCTTTTGTCATCTGGCCAAGAGAGCATTTCTCTAATAAAGTTAGCAGCCTGCTGCTATGTCTTTGGAAGCACTTTAGAGATGGAATCAGTCTCAGACAGAATTGCATAATACTATGGAGCCTGTCAAATGGTATGCAGTGCACTCTCTGTTTCATTTTTTCTGGATCAGTTTTGATTACTGTGGCCAGAGGATTTAGTGAATGCACTTGAAGGTCACCTGGTTCATACCACTCATGTGAAATATGCACATGATTATTTCTGCTGCAAACAACATTGTGCACTTGGGGCACCATATTGGGAAGCAGTAGGAGAAGCAGCAGCAACAACATCCTGATCACAAATATCCTTCTACACATGGACTCTCTACAATATTGTTACTATCATCAGCCTGACTTGAACAGGATGTATTTGGTGACAGCTGACTTTGGCACTTATGTCCTTAAAGGGGCAGGTAGCCACTTTCTTTTTAACTTTATCACTGTTACTTAAAAAATTAATTGAATGTGAATTAATCTAGAGTGATTTGAAACCTGACCTATACAATGAAAGAGGGAAACTGACTGAAATAACAGAGCCTGGCCTCCTCTCTCCTCCCTTACCATAGCTGTCAATGGAACGCTAGGGTGCTTTTAATCATTTGTGATTTAGTTTTTGAATCTTTATTTTTCATTATGCCTTCTGGTGCTTTGCCAGGTGAATTGATTATAGTAATTTTAATAATTACAGGTCAGATAACCTTTTTTTTGTTTTTGACTCTATAGTGCATCAGAAATGATTTCCAAAGTAAACATATCTGTCACATCATACAATCCTAGATTAGGAAGAGATTTCTATGGTCATCAAGTATTATCGGCTTGCTAATGCAGGACATCCATAACTACAAACAAAAACAAAAACACCCCACCTGTAGACAGGCATCCATCTTTTTCCAAAAAATTCCTCTATCAAAATGTGTTTAGAGGGGAGCCAACTGCATCCTTTCCCCAGTTGTCTAATTTCCTCCTGCTATTGGCCCTTACTCTCGCTGTCATATGTAACATCGATTACACTTACTGAAACTTGGGAACAATGATGGAAAGGGTCCAAACCATATCAGGATATAGAGACCCTGGAGAACACAGCCGAACTGCTTTTGAAAGAGCACATATATACAGTTTGAAGCAGAGTGGCATGCTAAGGAAAAACTGTGCCATCCACCTTTTAGTAATTCTGAAGTCTAGGTGGTCTGAAGTAGTAATTCTGAAGACTAGGTGGTCTATCACTGTCAGGCAGTGCTAGGCAGTATTTTCCCCTCCAGATGTTTCTGGATTACAGCTTTCATCATCCATGATAATAATAGCCAATTGGAAGCTGATGTGAGCTGTAGTCCAGCAATATCTGGAGGGCCACAGATTGGGTACCCTTGGTGTAAGGAAGGTTTGGGCTGTTGAAAAAATGCCTCATGCTGACCTGTCAGGGCTTTGTTTGGATTTGGATTTGATATCCTGCTTTATCACTACCCAAAAGAGTCTTAAAGCAGCTAACATTCTCCTTTCCCTTCCTCCCCCACAACAAACACTCTGTGAGGTGAGTGGGGCTGAGAGACTTCAAAGAAGTGTGACTAGCCCAAGGTCACCCAGCAGCTGCATGTGGAGGAGCGGAGATGCGAACCTGGTTCACCAAATTAAGAGCCTACCGCTCTTAACCACTACACCACACTGGTTCTCTTTCTCAAGAATTTGAGCCCTCTGAGACTGATGCAGTGTCCATGTGAAGGTGAGTCACTTTCTGACTCCCTTTCCAGCCCCATGTCAAGGCAGGTATAAGATTACAGGTCTGGAAACAACAGCAAATACCAACAGTAGAAGAATGGCGACAGAAGGTAATGGAATATGCAGAAATAGCCAAATTAACAGGAAAAAATAGACAACAGGGGAGGAAACATTTCAAAAAGAATGGGAAAATTTATGTCGTATATAGGAAAGATAAGATGAAATAGTGAAACCAGTAGAACTGGAAATAAACCTTATAACTGGAAAGATTAGGAAAAGTGATGGATAATGAAAATAACAAGAAGCAAAATGAATAAGGAGATTAATATAACTAAGAGTAGTTGTAAATTAATACAGACAGACAATAAGAATTGTCTAAGGTGGAGGATTTATTAGGTTTCAGACTATACACAATTTCCCTGGGCTAGTGCCTGCCTCCACTTCTTGCCTGATACTCTTTCCCCACAGCCACAACCCAAACTGCCCAAATTCTTCCATAATTTGGGTGGAGACTTGGTTGAGTCTATCGCATGGCCCTGATAGATTGAGCAATGCTCTTGCATAACATAAGGCAGTTTACAATGTTCCCTTTCCCCTTTCCTCTATCTGCAGTTTCCAACACACACCAACATCTGCTCAGGAGTTTCAGAACCTATTGGGAAAGTGGATGCTGGAAAAGTAGAGTAAGGGATTCAAATTGTTGGATATGTTGGATTTGATCCATAGTTTCATTCATACACATAGTTCCAATTCATTTCCAGCTCATATGTAACTGTGCTGGATGCCAAGAACATAAACGATAAGGCAAGCTCTTCTGTAATTTTGACCCCCACATCTGACACTGGCCAGAAAGTTTCTAGAGCCTAATTCCCAACATAAACTACAATCTCTTCTGCCATTTATACATTGCTCCATATCAGCTGTTCTCTGTTATTCAGTTCAGGCCTTATCACAGTAATGTAGCATTTAGGGAAAAAGAGGCATGCCAGCAAGCCAGTACTGGAAACCAAGATGGAGGAAATCTCCACAGCCACCATGTATCTTCCTCTGGTGCTCAGAGGTGCTACGGATATCATCCATAGTTTTTTCATACACATAATCCCTGTTCATTTATACCTGATATGCAACTATGCTGCATATCAAGAAAGCCACTTCTGAGCTAGGGAGGAGGTGGGGTTGCGGGCTTCAAGGCTGGCTCGGGGACTTGGCCTCGCCTACTTAGGTCTGGCGCGGCCGAGGCTCTTCCTCTTTCCCACGCCACAGCTGACACATAATCCCAGTTCATTTATACTTCATATGCAACTATGCTGCATATCAAGAACATAAATGATAAGACAATCTCTTCTGTTGTTTTGATCATTTCAGGTAACTTCCTTTCTTGAAAAACCACAGTGAAATGACTCGGCTAATAAGTCTACAGAATCTAAATACAGAAATGACAAAATATTCTGTTATTTACATCTTTCTCCGTATCAGCTGCTCTCTGTTATTCAGCTCAGGCCTCACCACAATAATGTAGCATTTAGGGAAAAGATGCAACCCAGCAGCCCAGCACTGGAAGCCAAGATGGAGAAGATCTCCACAGCCACCATGTATTTTCCTCTGGTGCTCAAGTATGTGGGAATAAAAGAGAACCAAACACTGCAGAAGACCAGCATGCTGAAGGTGATGAATTTGGCTTCATTGAAGCTGTCCGGCAACTTCCGGGCTAAGAAGGCCACAGTGAAGCTGATCATGGCCAGGAAGCCCATGTAGCCTAAAACACCATAGAACATGAGAACTGACCCCTCATTACATAAGAATATAATTTCTTCAGTCATTGAGTGCATGTCCACATCTGGAAATGGGGGAGAGGTTGCCAACCAGGAGGCACAGATTCCTACTTGAATCACAGAGCAAGAAATGACAATGGAGTAAGCCAGTTTTTTGCCTACCCACTTCCTGATTGTGGAATCTGGCTTGGTAGCCATGAATGCCAAAACCACTGAAATAGTCTTGGCCAAGATGCTGGAGAGGGCCACAGAGAAGACAATGCCAAAAGCCGTTTGTCGGAGTGGGCAGGTTGCCTTATTAGGCATTCCAATGAACACCAAGGAGCAGAGGAAACACAAGAGGAGGGAGATGAGGAGAATGTAAGTGAGGCTTCTGTTATTGGCTTTGACGATGGCAGTGTCCCTGTGCTTAATGAAAATGCCAAGTACCATAGCTGTGATCAAAGAGAATAAAAGCGCAGAGAAAGTTGAAACCATGGCCAAAGTTTCACCAAAGCCTAGGACATTTGGTTTCTTGGGAATGCACTCATTCTGCTCTTCATTTGGATATTGATCCACAGGACATCTGACACAGGTTTCCAATCCTGAAAAAAGGTTGCATGACAATTGATAACTATCCAGAATATGCTTAAGAGTGGTTTTCTTAAAAAAATCAGGAGATTCCTTACCATAGTGTTTCCATGAGGAAAAGTTTCAAAACTTCTATTGCAAATGCTAGTGCCCTAGATGCTTTGAAGATAAAGTTATGCATGGAATTTAACATTTCCTATATGGAGAAACTATGTTTTTAGTGATCCTCTTCCATATTCTTAGAACAACAGATACTGCATAATGAAATCAGAGAAATATTACAGCTGAAATCTTGGAAGCAAGAGGGGTGATTTTTATAGGATTTTAACCCTGTCCCCAAAATCCTTGTTCTTAGATAAAAGACAATCACTCCTATTACCTCCTCCCCCCTAAAATTTTTAGTGCTGTCTTCAGGACAAAACAATCTTGGGGTGGAGCTACACTAGTGATTTATAACGGTAAAATGCATTATTAAAATGTGACACCACAGCAGTGAGCCACTGGCAATGGGAAACTGCATTAAACATCATGGAACATTATATTTAATAACGTTTCAAAGATCAATATAGATAAAGTGATGGAAAATCTTTACATTACAGGTAAAGTCACATTTTCATGTTATACCCACTAGAAAGCTAATATAATTTCTTCATACTGGCAGCTTTTACTGAGACAGCAGGGAGATTATTGTTAATAGTAGAATAAAACAGAGCAAATCCCATTGCCGATTTGCTCAGAAGTTTCTAAAATGACTTTTATATGCTAATATGGCATATAAAAAATATAATATGGCATGTCTCTCACCCTTCTCATCTGAGAACATCCCACGAGGACATGGATCACAATCATAACAACAAAACTTCTTCCCCTCCTTCTTTTTCTTCTCATAACCAGGATGGCAGTTGGCATTACATAAGGAAACGGGTGGCACCTATCCAAAGGGACACGAAGGGGTTAATATTAAGAAAATGTTTTAGGGGATTCAGGTAACATCAGGTGATCTATCAGTAAACAGGAGGGTCAGAAATGTTAAATGTAGGAACCATATGTGCTGAGGCAGCACATGTTGTTTAGTAGTTTAGTCGTGTCCGACTTTTCGTGACCCCATGGACCAGAGCACGCCAGGCACTTCTGTCTTCCACTGCCTCACACAGTTTGGTCAAACTCATGTTGGTAGCTTCAAGAACACTGTCCAACCATCTCATCCTCTGTCGTCCCCTTCTCCTTGTGGCCTCAATCTTTCCCAACATCAGGGTCTTTTCCAGGGAGTCTTCTTTTCTCATGAGGTGGCCAAAATATTGGAGCCTCAGCTTCAGGATCTGTCCTTCCAGTGAGCACTCAGGGCTGATTTCCTTAAGAATGGATAGGTTTGATCTTCTTGCAGTCCATGGGACTCTCAAGAGTCTCCTCCAGCACCATAATTCAAAAGCATCAATTCTTTGACTATTAGCCTTCTTTATGGTCCAGCTCTCACTTCCATACATCACTACTGGGAAAACCATAGCTTTAACTATACGGACCTTTGTTGGCAAGGTGATGTCTCTGCTTTTTAAGATGCTGTAGGTTTGCTTTTCTCCCAAGAAGAAGGCGTCTTTTAATTTCATGACTGCTGCCACCATCTGCAGTGATCATGGAGCCCAAGAAAGTAAAATCTCTCACTGCCTCCATTTCTTCCCCTTCTATTTGCCAGGAGGTGATGGGCCCAGTGACCATGATCTTAGTTTTTTGATGTTGAGCTTCAGACCATATTTTGCGCTATGTACATCCCTGCTTCTATCATTCCAACTCAACACTAGAGTCTCAAGCAGCATCAGAAAAACTCTAGAAGATTACAATATTCATTCACAATGATACAGTCAGCTTAGCATTCTATCTAATGCTACTAACCGGAAAGCTACCAACAAACAAGCATGTTGGACAACACTCTCTGATAGCCATTGGTCCTTCTTGGTGTGACATGTCTTCTGTGCATATTGCTCTTTCTGGTGATGTGGTTCATTTGTTTACTTATTAATAAAATTATTAGGAGCAGCATTATTAGTAGTGGCAGCAGCAGTTGGGCAGCACTTCCCTTTTCACTTCATGTGGCAAAACTACATGCTCTCCCACCTGTGGGCAGTGATTTCCTTACCTGAGTGAAGACTCTGTGCCATTGGATTCTGTCCCCATTAATGGTGAGTTCTTTGCCAGGAGGGGCCTGAGGATCCAGTCTTCCAACTTTGACCCTGACATATGAATTATTTGGGAAAGTGACCAGGTTTGTAATATCAAATCCACCTGCTAATTCCCCACGTTCATTGAATGTAATTTCATCCCCAGCACTGTTGTTGAATGAGAGCCTCTGCAGGAATGAGTGCAGCTAGGTGGAAAGAGAATCAAAAGGTCTATGAAGTGTTGTAATAGTGTTACTAAGATAATTTATGGGGTCATGAAGAGTCGGATACAACTAGACAACTGAACAACAACAACAAAATAATTCAATTGTTTTCCTGTGAGAATTTAAGATCTTTTCCTGGCTCTGTTTGTTTGAGTTACCATGGAAGCCAGACATTTTTATGCATATTATCTGATGATAAGAAACTGCAGAAAGCCACAAGCACTGGCACCATCTCTCTGGGGCCCTGAGTTCCCAGGCACCCACAAAATTTTCAACGAGGGGGCCACGCTGAAAGGGCTCTGGCAGGCCCTCCTGCTGCTGTGATGGGCTCCATCGCTGCCTCCTGCTGCAGCAGTGGGCTCCTACGGAGCAATAGGTGGGGTTGATGGAGCCCCTTACAAACCCTGAAGGCCATTGGGAGATGCCCAGAGAGCTACGCAACAAAAACTGCTTTTGTTTTTCACTCAGCTCACAGCATTCCAAAGCTGCTTTCGTCAACGTCCTGGCGTACTTCCCTTGTACGCACCTCCTCTCAGGCTTGAGGCACAGAAGGTTAACCCTTCACTACACCCAACAGGAAATAAAATAATTTAAGGTTAATCTTTGATGTATTTATTACTTTAATTATTTACTTATAGATGAATGCCAACTCTCATTATATTATCAACACAGTGCAGAACACTGAATACTTTGCTAGGTGAACACTTTATAAGAGGAAACATTACCTGCCAAGGCTCTACATTCTGAGAAGAGAGTCTGTCTCCACCTTTTGTCCTTTTGCGGATGGCTTCAGATGAGTACCTAATATGTAAGGCATGTGCCAGAGCATAGACAGCGTTATAGATACTGTAGCTGTGGCCGGTCATGCTCATTTCAAAAAATGGTGCAGGAAGGCTCTCCAGCAACTCTTCTCCAGTACATGTGTCTGCTGGCCCAGTGGAATTTGAAAGTGAACAAACAAATGCTTGTTCCCAGAAATCGCTGAAAAAACCATCTGCATCTGCCCACGAAGGCTTTACACTCCTTAGAAAGTCTGAGAAGTCTTGAATCTCCTTGGAGTGAATCGCAAAGGAGATAGCACCATGGAACATTTGTATATTAACTTTCACCATTTTTTTAAAATAATATAATATGAAATCAATTTGGGCTGTTGTAATCCATACTTTTCCTCCAGGTTGTTTCCTCTTAGATGGAGGCAATATCAGCTGAATTATATTCCTTACCTCTGTGGTACTTGATAGCCATATAATAGATGTACTTTCTCCATATATGACAATTGCATTTGCTCTGCTTGCCATGAAAGCTGGGGACAAAAGCCTTGTTTCACCCAACATATCAGCTATGTTACCTGTGAAATGCAGATGGTATTCAATTTTTTCAGTGAATTCTGAACAGATTCCATTCTGGAAAAGCATTGGTTCAATGATCTGCAAGAAACGTTCTCCAACTTCATTATTTGGAGTGATGAGCCCGACCCATTTCCATCCAAAATGCAGAAGTAACTGGATAATTCCCTTGTACTGAAGATCTTCATTGGGGACCATGCGGTAGAAGGAAGCAACTTTGATTTGATCATTTGTGGCTGGTTCAAATGAACCATATGAAATCTGAAAAGGAAAAAGCCAAACCTTTCCAAGTGGAAACAAGAATTCACAATGCACCCATTTTCTGAGTATAAATCCTGTATATCCCATATTTACTAATCTTACAGAGGGTCAAACCCCATTACATAAAAAGAATATTTCTCAATTATTTTTGTAGATATTAATTCCTATTATGGGAGTCATCACAGCTGCATACTTGTACACAAGGATTCTCTCCAAGAACAGGAGAGCTTTGCCTTCAACAATACTCCAAAGTGGAACTGGAGAAATAAAAGCAATTTATCATATTCTTTTGGTTTATAATCTTTATAGCACTTGTAGGGAGAGGTTGGTGTCATATCTACTAAGAACACTCGTTGGTGGATATCTTGGAAATCCTGTACATTTCCTGAATATTATACATTTTATTCTTCTATGACCACAATAAACCATATCCTATGAAAGTAAAATACCAGCAAAAATTAAGGCAACTAATATGAAGTCAAGTAATGCAGCAGAACAACACCATATTGATAAGAATACATCCATCCCCAAATGCCAGAAAGATAACAAGAATTTTGTTTTTGATTAGCCTTTGAAGGTGGACAGTACTAAACATCACCATACCTATAAAAAGAGGGGATCTTTTTATGATTCCTAAGGAGAAGGACATTGTTGTCCCAAGTTATTTATGGCTTTGTAAGTCAGCTTCATCACTACGAAGTGGGACTGGTATACCTCTCATGCAACTAGGGCAGTGCTTTCAGGAATAATGTAATGTGAACCCATCAAGGTGCCCCATTCATCCAGCTGGAACTTTTTGAACAATCTTTCATTAAATGTATTATACACACATTCTTTAGAACCTGGGTCCCTTCATCTACATTGTTGGGAATTAATATTATAAGCCACCCCCCACCCAAATACCCATGTATTGCAACCCGTTTCCCTTTTCCATTTTACCACTTCATATTATGCATAAACAGATTCCTAGTGAAAGAAGAAAAGTGTTAACAATGGCATGAAATACCCATTTTTTCAATACCCATATTCTACCTGTGGAATCTTGTGAAGACCTAAGATGTCTGCCATGGATGAGGAAGTGTCAGAGCTAAGTCCCCCAATGACTCCTACTACATTTTTCTGAATGCCACATATGTAATTGGGGACAAAGTGATGAGATTTAAAGAGCAGATCCAGAGTGTTTCGGTAGGTCATCCTTGAATCAAAATAGCTGTCATAGATGTGGAATCCAAGAGTGGCATTGGGCAAGATCTTGGGATTCTCATTGATCTCATCAACAGCAAAAACCAAGGCGAGGATGTGTGGGTAGAACTTTGTCATCACTCTGCAAATAAAGTATGTTACTATTTTATGGGGTATTCAACAGTGTACAACACTTAGATCTGAGGGATACAACTGCCTCAATTAAATCATGTTGGAAACAGGGAAATTGTTTTGTGCCTTTAGAGTTACTGTTTGGATCTCTCTTCCATCTGACTCACTTTGTTTGAACACATAGCTTGAGAAATGATTTTCAGTTTTTATAACCATGTTGCTTTTCATCACTAGAGCCATGCACAGTTATTTAAATCATTACTACAGCTAGGTAGTAAACTACAATCCCTTTGTCAGTTCTTTTTCCTATCAATGCAAACTGTTCTGAAATGAAAATAAAGGAATTGAAAATGAAATGAAATGAAAATAAAGGAACTGGCAGCTGCGATTTTGAATATAAAAAATGGCAAGTGATGATCTGGCAGTGAAGATTGTAAAATGGCTCTCATCCTATTATTACTAAATGCATTTGAAGCTTGTCCCTGATTGTTTTCAATGTGCTTTAGACATGAATTCAATTTTATACCATCCTTCAACACAGCGGCTCAAGCTGGATACCACAGCTCTCCTCTCTCCCCTTACATACTCATGAAAGCCCCACATTGTAGTTGGCCAAGAAAATGGAGATTTGAACCCAGATCTCCCCGATGCAAGTCTGCCATGTTAAATTACTGTGGGCAGAAGGACCAATGGCTAGAAAGCAAGTGGTGGTTATGTGAAACTGAATCAGCTCAAACATGGCTAAGGTTTCATTTTGCACCTGGAACGTGGAAGGGAAGGGGCAGGGGTGATGACAGCTTACTTCTTCACTACAATTGTGTCTACAACTAGCTGTCCGGAAGAACTTTTCAATGTTGAATATACGTTTGTTATCTGGCCAGGAGAAGATTTCTCTTATAACGTTAGCAGCCTGCTATTATAACTTTAAAAACACTTTAGGGATGGAATCAATCAGATTTGGAGTTGCATACCACGATTAAGGGGGATACGGGTGGCGCTCGTGGTTTAAACCACTGTGCCACTTGGACTTGATGATCGGAAAGTTGGCAGTTCGAGGCCCACCACGACGGGGTGAGCTCCAGTTGTTTGGTCCCAGCTCCTGCTAACCTAGAAGTTCGAAAGCACGCACTGCAAGCACATAAATAGGTACCACTCCGTTGGGAAGGTTAATGGTATTTCTGTGCTCTGCTCTGGCTTTGCCAGAAGCGGCTTAGTCATGTTGGCCACATTACCCAGAAAAACTGTCTGCGAAAGCCGACAAACGCTGGCTCCCTTGGCCTGTAAAGCGAGGTGAGCGCCGCAACCCCAAAGTTGTTCACGACTGGACTTAACTGTCAGGGGTCCCTTTACCTTTACCATGATTAAAGCCAGTCAAATGGTATGCAGTGCGCCCTCTGTTCCATTTTTGCTAGATCACTTCAAATTATTGTGGCCGGAGGATGTAGTCAATGCACTTGAAGAAATGAAGCTGCCAAATTGACCCTTGCCCAGCTTATGGAAGGAAACGCAAGGTTCGGGTAGAGTCCTAGAGCTCCCCACCTCGTTTCCAAAGCTGGAAAAGTGCTAACTAGGTTTTGGGAAGTAGACAGGAGGATTCAGCACCTTATCAGAGCCCATGCCTCTTTCCCAAAGCCCAGCGCCTTGTTTACCAGGTTTTGAGACAGCACTCCCATGGCTTGTACCCAATGCGTGGCCACTTCTCGCAGAACCCTAATGCCGCTTCTGTGACTTGGGAGGTCTAGCGAGTGATCAATACTTCATTGGAGGATGGAGAGATACCATGTATCTTGGAGCAGGTTATGGCGTAGCCCCTCTTTCAAAGTACTGCTCTAAACTAAGAGTAGAATAGTCTTATAAAATCTTACTATTGGGTTTAATCTTACTTTGGCTTTCAAAGTGAACCAAGTGCTTTATAGTCAGCTATAAATGTAGAAAGAATAAATGAAATGATCTTAAGAGCTGTTTACTTACAGTGGGTTGGGAATAAAGACCTGAGATGGGTGTTCATGGAAGGAAATGCTGGGGAATATGTAATGGATATGAGACACTATCCCACCAATGGTAAGGTCACCTTGTTCATACCATTCATGTGGAATATGCACAGGATTATTTCTGCTGCAAACAACAGTGTGCACTTGGGGAACCATATTGGGAAACAGCAAGAGAAGAAGCAGCAACCACATCCTCATCACAAATATCCTTCTACACCTGGAGATTTGTAACCACTGACTCTGCCAATTCTGTACTTAAAGAGGCAGGTATCCACCTTCCCATTAACTTTGGCACTGTCACAAAAAATTCATTGAATGCTATAATTTGAATTCTAACCAATACAATGCAAAACCAAAAGCTGGCCTCACCTTTCCTCCCTTACCTTAGTTGTCAATGGAACACTGGGGTGCTTTTAATCATTTCAGGTTTCAGGTTTCATTTTTTATTTCCCATTCTGCCTTCTAGAGCTTTTCCAGGTGAATTAATTACCATAATTTTAATAATTACAGAGGAGATAATCACTTTTGCAATATATTTGGATTCTATGCTTCATAATCAGTAGGTGAATTTCTGAAGTAAACATATCTGTCACATCACAGAATCAAAGGTTAGGAATCTCTAAGGGCATCTTGTCCTATCTGCTTGCTAATGTAGGACATCCAGAACTATAAACAAAGAAAAAGAAAAATACCCCACCTGTAGGCAGGCGTCCATCTTTTCCCAAAAAATCCATCTATCAAAATGTGTTTTGAGGTGAGCCAACTGCATCCTTTCCCCATTTGTCTAATTTCCTACTGCTATTGGCCCTGACACTCTCTGACATATGTAACATTGATTCCAGTTGCTGGATCTTGGAAACAACGATGGAAAAACAAGCTGGTCTCTGATCATAATAAATTATTGATTGATTGACAATGATGGAAAAGGTCCAAAGCATATCAGTATATAGAGACCCTGGATAATACAGCCTCTATACTTTTGAAAGAACATTTATATACTGTTTGAAGCTGAGTGACATGCTTGGGAATGCCCCAGTGTCAGGGCCTGGCTGGACGAGGAAGAGTAGTGGCAGCCAGTGGCCCAGGAGGGACCTAAGTGGGAAGGAGACTTTGAACCAGGTTCAGACTGGTGGGACAGAGAGAAATCACCAGCGGAGAGTGAAGGTGAAAGGCTTTTCTTTTTTTTTTTAATAATATTTATTAAAAGTTTCAGGATTACAGAAAAGAAGAAAAAATAGGAAACAACACTACAATACATAAAAAAGAAGAAAAACAAAACAAAACATAAAAACCAATACAACAATACAACAAAAAGAAAAAAAATACACAAATCCCATATTGCATATCTTTAACTTCCATTTGCTTGTTTCATTGACCTCCTCACATCTCCCTTTTTGTATTCTAGTTTAATTAGTTATTTCAGCAAATTCTTTCCATCTTTCTCAATTTTTATTGAATAATTTATCTTAACAATTTAACCTATTAATTAACTCAGCGAATCCTTTCCATCTTTCCCCATATTCTGTTATTCAAATTGCCTTGATTTATTTAACCTTATCTTACCGTAAAATACCTTAGAGCTTGAAACTTAATACTCATTTATACATGACTCCTTATATCATTTCTACTAAAGCCATATAGTTTCATGTCAACATTTTCCCTAATATTCATTAATTTTAGGCTAATTCCCTAAATAAAAATTTTTCTTTATAAATTTTCTTCCAATCTTCATCCAACGTCTCTTCTTCCTGGTCTCGGGTCATGTCAGTCCTTACTGTCCATTCCATCTAGTCCATCAACCTGGTAATCTTATGTCCGAGGCTCTTAAGTCTCTTCCATGTCCCTTCTGCAGATCTTCTTCTTCTTGTTTATACCTGTACTTTTCCTTGTCTTTTGTTGGTCTCTTTCTTAATTTCTTTCCTTTCTCATTGAGGAGTAGGTCTCTGGGAGATTCCAGCCCAAAATTATCTCCATCTCCCTTCATCAAACCAGCCCATTCCCCACAGTTCCACTCCCCACAGTCATCAATGTAATCAAAAAAATATTTAAGAGCATATTTCAAAGTCCCTCCGAAGTTAAGAACCTCCTCAGCTCCAGACTCCCCCTGGCCCACTCCAACTTCAATCTTCAAAAACAGCGGCTTATGCTCCTGCAGGGCCTCGGATCTCTCCATTTGTATTATTTGAGGTGCAACCGCAACCTCCTCCATTATCTTCTGCACTTGCACTTGCCCAATCAATACAGGTTCCTGAGTTGGTCCCTGAATGATTTCTGTATCAGTATTCCCTGTCTGTCCGCAGTTACTGACCACAACAGTCATCAAATCCGTTTTCTCATTCATCAAATCCATCTTCTCATGCATCTGTTCCAACAAAGCACTAGTCTTGCATAAAGCAAGCACCAAAACTTCCTCCCAGCACATTTTTATTCAAGGTCAAAGGACTGGTCCCACGATCTTAATCTCACAGCTGTAAAGTCCCCAAGTAGACTGCAGCAACAATTTAACAAGCTCCCTCTAGAGGAGACAATTTCTATTTGTATCCATCTTTTTAAGGCAAGTCCAACAAAGGAAAATTACTTTCATTTTTCAGATATTTTGTTTCTTTAGAATGCAAAAGGCAACATTGGAATCAGTTTATTTCTCTTTTTTAGCTATCTGTCAAAGTGTTCCATTCACAGTCAATGAACATCTCCAACAATTTCTGTCTCTGACACCCCGTTCCCAGGTTTGAGACGGTGGAAACTTGTCTTTCTTTACTCCCTCTCCTGCAGGCTTAAACAGTCAAAGTCCCCCACCCCCTTTTCTCCTGCTTCCAAGGGGGTTTTAGTGGTTATAAATGAAGGAAATTTAGACTTTTATAAACGACTTTCCAGGCTTTAGCTTACAAGGTTTTTGCTTCAGTCTATATACAAAAAGTGGAAGGCGGACTTCCTGTTTTGAACCTTCTTCTTCGGTGCCAAATTAGGATATTTCTTGATCCAATTTTCCATTTCTACTCACGGGTACTTGTTTTAAATCCAATTGTCCACAGGAAAAAGTCAGCGCTCTCCGGCAATGGCTGTGCGGCTTCACTCCGTGAAAGTAGCAATCAGTTCGCAGCACCGCGCCGCTCACCCCACTTCACTCCGGAGCCCCGAAATGGGGTTCCCCGTGAGTAGGGGAGGCGCTCCTGGTGCCCTGCCGAACCCCACGTTCCCAGGCTTCCTCCGCCTGGGATTTCTAGCGGGTCCCCACTTTCGCCGCAGCGGGAAGACCCAGTTTCCAAGGAGCCAGTTCCTCCAGTCGGAGGAACTCCGCCATTCGCCGATGGCGCTAACCCGGAAGTTCGAGTGAAGGTGAAAGGCTTGAGGGAACCAGAGATGCTTATAGAGAAGGAGTAGGGGTTGTGTCTTCTGGTCTGCAATACAGTACTGATTTGTCTGCCGAGCTGGCAGCTTCCCACACTTTTTCAAATACCCTCCCTTGTGTCATGTTCCCTCAGCCTCCACTCGTCTGCCCTCTCCTTGCTGCTGCCGCCGCCACGCCTAGTCTCTAAGCTGCCCCCTACCCCTCCTAACACTGCCCCTTTGGAAGCACCCTCTGGTCAGCCCCAGAAGCACCATTCACCTGAGGAGCTTGTAGCCAAGGCTGTGCAAATCTTTGGGAGGCCGAGTCACAAGAGGGCATCAGAGGAGGGAGGAAAGGAAAGAGGAAGAGAGGCCAGTGTTGACTGTGGCACCCCTGACCATCATTCAAGGCACTCCAGGATGCCACAGCACACTGGCTGAAAACCACTAGTTCAAGACATCTCTCTCTTACTCTGGTCGGAAGCATAAATGCAGAAGACTGTCAGGGTGGCCCATCAGTGCAAGACAGTTATATGCACTGTTATGCCATCCAGATGTTTCTGGACTACAGTTGCCATCATCCTTGATAATAATGGCCTGTTGTAAGCTGGTGGGAGCTGTTGTTCAGCAACATCTGGAGGGCCATAGATTAACTACCCCTGGTGCAAATAATAGCGTGGTGTAGAATAAAGTTCCATCTCTAGGGTGGTATTTATCTGCCACTGCTATTATTATTATTATTATTATTATTATTATTATTATTATTATTTATACACCACCTAATAAACAGAGGTCTCAGGGTGTTTCACAAAGAAGACCACAACATATAAAATCACCTTAGAGCCTGGAGGAGTGTCTATGGCAAGTTGAGTCACTTCCATCTGATTTTCAGTTCAGAGCACTTTTAAATGTTCTGCTTCAACATATTATGAACAATGTAAATGAATACATACATAAATGTAGGGGCTTCAAAATGAATCACCCAAAACATGATCCATGATTTAATGGAACTACTGTCGCCATGAAATTGTCATGTTCCACTCATTTCTTAAAATAATCAGTATATATAGGGGAATGGTTGGGGTGGTATTTAACATTGTGTCAGTTCTGCTTTGGTTTGTGAGTTGTGATGATAGAAGCTGCAAACTGAATCTTGAGAGTGGCAGTGGGCAAGAAATCTTTGGCTGTTATCACTGGATTCTTCGCTTGTTCTTCATCCTTATCTAAACATAAAGTTAGTATCTTTATTGCCTGCCTCCCTTCTTTTACCTGCCCTTACTTTTTGAAATGGCTCAGTGAGGTTTTCTAGCCTGATGCTGGCATCCATACACTGACTGATGCCCCTCTCCACAGTGACCCTGGATCATTCTGCTTCATCTAATCCAACCTGCTGCAATTCATTGCTGTCCAACAGGAACTTGATAGATGCCCAGCTCACCCAAAATCGGCACATTCTGGCATGGAGCATGGTCAAATCTGGTGCACAGCCCTGCTGCATAGACTAATGGAGTCAGTATAAGGCAGCTTCTTAAGTTCTTGTGTTCTTTTTCTTCTCTTCTCTCTGCACCCCATCATCGCCTCAGGAGAGGTTCAGGCCTCTTGGGAAGATAAGAGGGCCTCTCTTTGGATGCAGGAGAAGAAGAGTAAGGGGACGTGTACGCATTCAAGTGGTTGGTTATCATCCATAGTTTCTTTCATACATGTAATCCCTGTTCATTGAAATCTCATAAGCAGCTATGCTGGACATCAAGAACATAAATGATAAGACAATCCATTCTGTTATTTTGATCATTTCAGGTAACTTCCTTTCTTGAAAAACCACAGGGAAATTACCATGCCAACAGGTCTAGAGTGTAAATATAGAAATGACAAACTATTCTGTTATTTACATCTTTCTCCGTATCAGCTGCTCTCTGTTATTCAGCTCAGGCCTCACCACAATAATATAGCATTTGGGGGAAAAGATGCAACCCAGCAGCCCAGCACTGGAAGCCAAGATGGAGAAGATCTCCACAGCCACCATGTATTTTCCTCTGGTGCTCAAGTATGTGGGAATGAAGGAGAACCAAACACTGCAGAAGACCAGCATGCTGAAGGTGATGAACTTGGCTTCATTGAAGCTGTCTGGCAACTTCCGGGCTAAGAAGGCCACAGTGAAGCTGATAATGGCCAGGAAGCCCATGTAGCCTAAAACACCATAGAACATGAGAACTGACCCTTCGTTACATAAGAATATAATTTCTTCACTGCTTGAATGCATGTCCACATCTGGGAATGGGGCAGAGGTTGCCAGCCAGAAGACACAAAGTCCCACTTGAACAATGGAGCCGGAAAGGACAATGGAATAAGCCAGTTTTTTGCCTACCCACTTCCTGATCATGGAATCTGGCTTTGTAGCCATGAATGCCAAAACCACTGAAATAGTCTTGGCCAAGATGCTGGAGAGGGCCACAGAGAAGACAATTCCAAAAGCCGTTTGTCGGAGTGGGCAAGTTGTCTTATTAGGCATTCCAATGAACATCAAGGAGCACAGGAAACACAAGAGGAGGGAGATGAGGAGAATGTAAGTGAGGCTTCTGTTATTGGCTTTGACGATGGCAGTGTCCCGGTGCTTAATGAAAATGCCAAGTACCATAGCTGTGATCAGAGAGAATAAAAGTGCAGAGAAAGTTGAAATAATGGCCAAAGTTTCACCAAAGCCTAGGACATTTGGTTTCTTGGGAATGCACTCATTCTGCTCTTCATTTGGATATTGATCCGGAGGACATCTGGCACAGGTTTCCAACCCTGAAAAAAGGTTGCATGACAATTGGAAACAATCCAGAATATGCTTAAGAGTGTGCTTTGTTTTTTAAAAAATCAGGAGACCCCTTACCATAGTGCTCCACCAAGGAAAATGTTTCAAAACTTCTAGTTCAAATGCTTGTGCCCTTGATGCTTTGAAAATAAAGTTATGCATGAAATCTTACATTTCATATATGGAGAAACTATTCTTTCAGTGGTCCTCCTCCATTTTCTTAGAACCACAGATACTTCATAATGAAATCAGAGAAATATTATAGCTGAAATCTTGGAAGCAAGAGAGGTGATTTTTATAGGATTTTAACAGTGTCCCCAAAGAGCTTTGGTCTCAGAGAAAAAACCGCCACTTCTATTCCATTCTCCCTTCCCCAAAACTTTAGTGTTGTCTTCCAGGACAAAATGTATGTACAATGGTACCTCGGGTTAAGAACTTATTTCATTCTGGAGGTCCATTCTTAACTCGAAACTGTTCTTAACCTGAGGCACCTCTTTAGCTAATGGGGCCTCGCACTGCCTCCATGCTGCTGCCACACGATTTCTGTTTTCATCCTGAAGCAAAGTTCCTAACCTGAGGCACTGTTTTTGGGTTAGCAGAGTCTGTAACCTGAAGCGTCTGTAACCCGAGGTACCACTGTATGAAATTTATCTCTTGTCGCATCAAAAGTGACTTGAGGTGAAGCTACACTAGTGGCTTATAAAGTTAAAATGCATTATTAAAATGTGACACCACAGCAGTGAGCCACCAGCAATGGGAAACTGCATTAAACATTATGGAACATCATATTTCATAACGTTTAAAAGATCAATGTAGACACAGTGATGGAAAATCTTTACATTACAGATAAAGTCACATTCTGATGGTTTACTCCCTAGAAGGTTAAGATAATTTCTTCATAGTGGCGGCTTTTACTGAGACTGAAGGGAAACTGATATACTATTTTTAATAAACAATATAAATTGAGTCCATACAGAGCAAACCCCATTGCCCATTTGTTCATAATTTACTAAAATAACTTGCACATGCTAATATGGCATCTCTCACCCTTCTCATTTGAGAACATCCCATGAGAACATGGATCACAAGCATAACAACAGAACTTCTTCCCCTCCTTCTTTTTCTTCTCATAACCAGGACGGCAATTGGCATTACATAAGGAAAGGGGTGGCACCTATCCAAAGGGACACAAAGGGATTAATATTAAGAAATTGTTTTAGGGATAACATCAGGTGATCTATCCGTAATTAGGAGGGCCAGAAATGTTAACTGTAGGATCCATATGTGCCCAGGTGCCACATACCTTGGGAGAAAAAGCTACAGTTCTTTTTTTAAAAAAAATTATTGACTATTTTCACATAACAAATTATTCCAACAATTGTATTTTCCCCAATTTCCCCCATCTCCCCCACATACCCCCTCCCCCTCCCCCTACGACTTCCCTCAGTTCCTCTTTCTGATTTGTTAACACATATTATTCTCTGCATGTTATAAAAATGTAAAAATCTATAAATTATCCATCTATTATATTAACAAAAAAATTTGTGTTTGTTTATTCAAAACCTGCCAAGGAGTCCAATTCATTTTGTTGTTTCTTTAAGTACTTTGTAAAAGGTTCCCATTCTTCTTTAAAGTCACAGTTGTCCTTATTGCGCAGTTTCTGCGTCAACTTTGCCAGTTCCGCATAGTCCATCAATTTCTCTTGCTACTCTTCTTTTCTCGGGGTTTCTTCATTCTTCCATCCTTGTGCCATTAAGACTCTTGTCACCGTTGTTGCATACATAAATATGTTCTTCACTTTCCTTGGCAGGTCTTTTCCTACAATTCCTAACAAAAATGCTTCTGGCTTTTTCTTCTTCTTCAAATGTTAGTTTAAACATTTTCTTCAACTCATTATATATCATTTCCCAAAATTTTTAAATTTCTCTACAATCCCACCACATATGATAGAAAGTCGCTTCTTTTTCCTTACGTTTCCAACATATGCTTGAGCCAGTTTTATACATTCTTGCTATCTGTACTGGTGCTATGTACCATCTATACATCATTTTCATGTAGTTTTCTTTCAATAAAGAATTATCTGTAAATTTTAAATTAGTTTTCCACAATCTTTCCCAATCTTCAAACAATATGTTATGACCTATAACTTGTGCCCATTGGATCATGACTGATTTCACCTCCTCATCTTTTGTCTCCCATTCTACCCTTAAGCAGCTTTACCTTCCCTGCCACAACTTCCTTTTGAAATCTAGATATCGTATAACTAAATCGTTTCTTATTGTCTTCACTTTTAAAAGGTGGATTAGCCAATCAAGTGGCAAGAAGTTTTGTTTGTTTGCTTTTTTGGGGATTGATTTATTATATTCTTTTTTTTAATTATATTTGGATAACCCAAAGTTGGAATAGCCAGACAAGTGGCAGAAGTGTATTTAAGTGTCTAATTCGGAAAAAGAAAATGTCACATTCACAGAAAAAAGCAAGTGAAGGAGCGACGCCTGGGGAAAGGAAGAGTTCAAGACAAGAAACAGAGCTTAAAGGGGATATATTAAAAATGTTTGCTGAAATAAAAAAAGATATAAAACAAAGTGAGAAAAATATAGAGTCAAAATTGGAACAGATGGATAAAAAATTAGAGGTGACGGTAAATGAACTGAAGGGACAAATAAAGGATATAACAAAAAGAATGCAGATTTTGGAGGAGGGGATGAAGAGGGCAAAATTGGAGGTGAAAGAAGTGAAAGAAGTAAAAAGGGAAGAAGAAAAAATTAAGTTGGGGTGTCAGAAATTAATAAGTACCAAGAGAAATTATGGGATGCGATTGCTATGAATGAATTGAGGCAAAGAGAGGTAAATTTAAGGTTGAGGGCTGTGCCTGAAACTCAAGGTGAGAAGATTAAGGAGAAATTGATATCAGAGATAGCCCAATGGTTAGAAATGCAAATAGAAGAGGTGGCCAAAACAGTTCAAAAGGCATTCCGAATTAAGATTAGAACTACCAAAGCAAAGAAATTTCCAGGTGATTGTTTACTTATTTTTAAAGACAGAGAAATGGTGTTTGCCGATGATTTGGTATTAACAGTGGAAGAACCATTATCAAGTGTTAAGGAGGTATTAGAGGAAATAGAACAGTTTGGCCAAATGGTAGGTTTTAAACTGAATAAGAAAAAACCTAGAATAATTGCTAAAAATATGAAACAAGAATTGATAGAAACATTGCAGCAACAAATAGGTATAGAAGTGGTAAAGAAAGTTAAATATTTGGGAATTTGGTTAACTCCCAAAAATATTGATTTATTTCAAAATAATTATGTACCAATGTAGAACAGAATTAAAAGAGATCTAGAGGGGAAGACTGAAGTTGTCATTTTGGGGAAGGATTTCAACGATAAAGATGAGCGTGCTTCCGAAGATGTTATTTCTGTTTCAGATGATTCCAGTAATTAAAGGAGTTGCAATCTTTAAAGAATGGCAAAAGACAATTTCAAGGTATATCTGGCAGGGTTAGAAGCCAAGAATACAATTTAAGTTACTAACGGATGCTAAAGAAAGAGGGGGCTTCGCCCTGCCGATTTGAAATTGTACTATGAAGCAGCATGTCTTTGTTGGTTGAAGGAATGGATAAAACTAGAAGATACAGAATTGTTAGATTTAGAAGGATTTGATAATAGATTTGGTTGGCACGCGTATTTATGGTATGATAAGAAAAAAATCCATAAAGGATTTGGAAACCACATATTTTGAAGATCTCTTATAGATGTTTGGGATAGGTATAAAAACCTATTGGAACAAAAAATACCACATTGGTTGTCTCCTTTAGAAGTGATGAGTGTTGAAAAGGTCAATATGAGTGGGAGGTGGATAACATATGGGAAATTAATAATTAAAGAAGGGGGTAAATGGAAACTGAAACCATATGAGGAGGTGAAAGAATATGTTAATGATTGGCTGCATTTTTATCAGATTAATGAAATGTTTAAAAAAGATGTTAAAGAAAAAGCTTTTTCAGAAAAGGAGTCGAAGTTTCAACTTGAAATATTGAATAATGACTTTAAAATTCTGTCTAAAATGTATAAATTGCTGCTGGAATGGCATACTAAAGATGAAGAAATTAAATCGGTTATGATTCATTGGGCCAAAGACTTTGGTTATAATATACAATTAAAAAAATGGGTAAAATTATGGAATGAAGGTTTAAAATTTACTGCATGTACTGCGTTAAAAGAGAATGTGATGAAAATGATATATAGATGGTATATTACACCAGTAAAACTACCAAAAATGTATAAAGTAAGTAATAAATGCTGGAAATGTCAGGAAAAAGAGGGGACATTCTATCATATGTGGTGGGAATGTAAAAAGGTGAAAAGCTTCTGGGAGATGATTTATAATGAATTGAAAAAAATGTTGAAATATACATTTGTAAAGAAACCAGAAGCATTTCTGTTAGGTATAGTAGGAAATGAAATAAATAAAGAATAATGCAAGCTTTTTTTGTATGCGGTAACAGCAGCAAGAATATTATTGGCCCAAAAATGGAAACAGGAAGAGTTACCAACGATAGAGGAGTGGAGAAGAAAGTAATGGACTATGCAGAACTTGATAAACTGACAGGGAAGATCCGAAACCGGCAGGATCAGAAGTTCACCGAAGACTGGAGTAAATTTGTGGACTATCTGAAAAGTATATGCAGTGATGAAACAACGTTTGTGGGCTTACAAGAAGCTCTGTGAAGAAAAAATATTAGGAATATTGTAAAAAAGGGAAAGGAGGGAGGAGAGGTAATTAGTATAAGGCAATATAAAATTAGGAAATGCGTAAGAAATGATTAATACGGAGGATTATCAGAAGAGCTGAGGGAAGTCCATAATGAATGTAATTTGTGAGAAAATATGTGCTGTATTCTTTATAATTTTGTACTGTAAAAGTAATAAAAAATATTGTTTTTTTTTAAAAAAATGAAATCTAGATATGGTATAACTAAATCCTTTCTTATTGTCTTCTTTGTATATCTCGTGTAGTTGCCAATAGTGTAACCAGCTCTGAAAATGGTCTTTTATTTCCTTGCAATCTCTTAATTTCCATTTTCCTTCTTGGTCCTTTAATAAATCAGCATACATGAGCCACTTTCCTTTTTTACTGAATGGCTTGGGCAATAAAGCTTCATGTGGTGAAAGCCATCAAGGAGTCTTCTGTTCTAATAAGTCTTTATATCTCTCCCATACTCTCATTAGTGATTTCGTAATTATATGGTTATAAAAACCTTTATGTATTTTCCCTTTCCCATACCTGAAATATGCGTGCCATCCAAATCTGTTGTCATGTCCTTCTAGATCTAATGCTTCTTGCTTTTCCAACTTTATCTAGCCCCTGATCCATACCAGGCATGCAGCCTCATAGTATAATTTAAAGTCTGGGAGGGCAAAACCACCTCGTTCTTTTGTATCTGTAAGTGCTCCTCCTCAGCCATCGGGGTTGGGTCTGCTCTGCTCCTCATCCTGCCTTCTTTGGTCTCCCTGCCTGCCTACCTCCATCGCTTGGCATACCACCTGCCAACCTTCTATCTATTGCAACTCCATCCACCAGCCTCTCCTTTCTTCCCTCCGGGCCGTGCTTAGCACTCTGCTCACACTTATAATAATGACAACAGCTAACCAGGGATGAAGAACTGCACAGCTGCTCTGATGGCCAATGCCACCAGTGTCATGGTCCAAGCGTTGGCTTCCCCTACTGAGCAGCAGCCTAAAGGAGCAGAAAGCAAAGTGACTCCACCTGCTGCTGATCTGCCTTCTTGCTCCTGATGAGAACCAGCAGGCTCCAGCTTTCTTAAGCAGGGTTTCCAGCCTCAGTCAGTTACTGAAAACAACTTTTGTCATTCCTGACCAGACCTTGCTGCTTCTTGTTTCTCGTGACCTTTGACCCTTGGCTTTCTTGAGCCCCAGATTGTCGGACTACATGAACTGAGATACTCGTGACCTTAGGACTGGACTGGACCTTTTATGCGGACTCTGCCTCCAGGCAAGCAACCCCCTGAGACTTGACTGGTTGTCTGGCTTCTCCCTCCACTGAGCTCTGCCATGGCTGGCAGCACAGGACAAAGACAAGCAGCTGGATTCCTCCCCCGAGGCACTGAGAGGAGCCTGCATGCCTTGCCCAGCAGCCCACGGAGTACATGGATGGGCAGCTGGGCTCCAGGGCACTCCGAGCAAGGCATGATTTTGGGGGAACCTCCTAGGCCTGTGGCAGGAGTCAACCTGACAAACACCTCCCTACATTCCTTCAATAATAATAATAATAATAATAATAATAATAATAATAATAATTTTTATTTATACCCCGCCCTCCCCAGCCAAGGCCAGGCTCAGGGCAGCTTACAAGCAATAATAAAAACAAGTTGAATGATTACAACTTAAAAACAAAATTAAAATACAACATTAAAATATTGAAACATTAAAATATTAAAATGTAACCTCATCGCAGAAGGAGAAGGAAAGGAAAAAAGAAAGATAGGGAGGGAATCAAATTGGCTCCAAGCCAAAGGCCAGGCGGAACAACTCTGTCTTACAGGCCCTGCGGAAAGAAATCAGATCCTACAGGGCCCTGGTCTCTTGAGGCAGAGCGTTCCACCAGGCCGGAGCCAGAGTTGAAAAGGCCCTGGCTCTGGTTGAAGCTAATCTAACTTCCTTAGGGCCCGGGACCATTGGGGTGTTGCTATTTATGGACCTTGAGGCTCTCCGTGGGGCATACTGGGAGAGGCGGTCCTGTAGGTACGAGGGTCCTAGGCCGTGAAGGGCTTTAAAGGTCAAAAGCAGCACCTTAAATCTGACCCTGTACTCTACCGGGAGCCAGTGCAGTTTGAAAAGCACTGGGTGAATATGCTCCCATGGCAGAGACCCCGTGAGGAGCCTCGCTGCAGCATTCTGCACCCGCTGGAGTTTCTGGGACAGCTTCAACGGCAGCCCCGCGTAGAGCGAATTACAGTAGTCAAGCCTGGAAATGCCCGTCACATGGATCACTGTGGCCAGGTCGGGGCGGGAAAGGTAAGGGACCAACTGCTTGATGCGGCGAAGGTGGAAAAATGTTGCCTTGGCTGTTGCTGTAACTTGCGCCTCCATGGAAAGGGAGGCGTCAAGGATTACACCCAAACTCTTAACGGAAGGCAATGGCACTAATTGGGCCCCCGCAAAAGAAGGGAGTTGGTCCCTCATCCCCATGCCATCCCGACCCAGCCATAGGACCTCTGTCTTCGAAGGATTTAGTTTCAATCGGCTCCCACGAAACCATCCAGCCACAGCTTCCAAGCATCTGGTCAGTGTATTCAGGGCCGAGTCGGTGTGGCCATCCATCAGCAGATAGAGCTGAGTGTCATCAGCATATTGGTGACAGCCCAGCCCAAAGCTCCGGATAATCTGGGCAAGGGGGCGCATAAAGATGTTAAAAAGCATTGGGGAGAGAATTGCGCCCTGCGGCACTCCACACACCAAGGAATGGCGCAACGACATATCCCTCCCTAGTGCCACCCTCTGTCCCCAACCAGAGATAAAAGAGCACAGCCAGTTACAGGCTATGCCCTGTATCCCCACATCTGTGAGGCGGTGGTCCAGAAGATCATGATCAACCATGTCAAAGGCTGTTGACAAATCTAAAAGGATCCGTAGTCCTAACCCGCCTCGATCCAGTTGTCTACGGAGATCATCTGTTAGGGCAACCAGAGCTGTCTCGGTCCCAAAACCAGGACGGAAACCGGACTGAAATGGAACTAAAGCCGGTTTCCTCCAGAAACCTACCAAGCTGTTCAGCAACCGCTCTCTCAATTACCTTACCCAGATATGGAAGATTTGAAACTGGGCGGTAATTGGATAGGTCTAAGGGATCTAATGAAGTTTTCTTTAAGAATGGACACACTACTGCTTCCTTCAGTTCCCCTGGGAATGTCCCCGTGTCAAGGGATAAATTGATAATTTCAACCAGGGGGGTCCGCGCAACATCTGGACACTCCCTAATCAGCCAAGATGGGCACGGATCAAGGAGGCAGGTGGTGGGCCTACCAACTTGGAGGAATCTATCCACATCAGCAGGGAGTATCCGATCGAAATGGTCCAACATTGGACCTGAAGTCAGTCGAGGGGCCTCCAGTTCAGTCACTGTATCGAAATTGGCAGGGAGGTCACGGCGGAGCAACAGGACTTTCTCCGCAAAAAAGCTTGCGAATGCCTCACAGCTGTGGTCCCTATGATGGCAACCCAACACTAGAGTCTCAAGCGGTAACAGAAAAACTCATGAAGATTACAATGTTCATTCACAAAGATACAGTTAGCGTAGCATTCTATCTAATGCCACTAAATAGAGAGCTGCCTTGGGGATTTCACAAACAAGCAATCTTACATTTCATATATGGAGAAACTATTATTTTGGTGGTCCTCCTCCATTTTCTTATAACCACATATACTTCATAATGAAATCTGAGAAATATTATAGCTGAAATCTTGGAAGCAAGAGGGGTGATTTTTATAGGATTTTAACACTGTCCCCAAAGAGCCTTGGTCTCAGAGAAAAAACCGCCACTTCTATTCCATCCTCCCTTCCCCAAAACTTTAGTGTTGTCTTCCAGGACAAAATGTATGTACAGTGGTACCTCGGGTTAAGAACTTATTTCGTTCTGGAGGTCCGTTCTTAACCTGAAACTGTTCTTAACCTGAGGCACCACTTTAGCTAATGGGGCCTCACACTGCCTCCACGCGGCCACCACACGATTTCTGTTCTCATCCTGAAGCAAAGTTCTTAACCTGAGGAACTATTTTTGGGTTATCAGGGTCTGTAACCTGAAGCGTCTGTGACACAAGGTACCACTGTATGAAATTTGTGTCTTGTTGCATCAAAACGGACTTGAGGTGAAGCTACACTAGGGGTTTATAAAGTTTAAATGCATTATTAAAATGTGACACCTCAGCAGTGAGCCACCAGCAATGCGAAACTGCATTAAACATTATGGAACATCATATTTAATAATGTTTAAAAGATCAATGTAGATACAGTGATGGAAAATCTTTACGTTACAGATAAAGTCACATTCTGATGGTTTACTCCCTAGAACGTTAAGATAATTTCTCCATAGTGGCAGCTTTTACTGAGACTGAAGGAAAATCAATATACTATTTTTAATAAACAATATAAATTGAGGCCATACAGAGCAAACCCCATTGCCAATTTGTTCAGAATTTACTAAAATAACTTGTATATGCTAATATGGCATCTCTCACCCTCCTCATTTGAAAACATCCCATGAGGACATGGATCACAATCATAACAACAGAACTTGTTGCCCTCCTTCATTTTCTTCTCATAACCGGGAAGGCAGTTGGCATTACATAATGAAACGGGTGGCACCTATCCAAAGATATAGGAAGAGGTTAATATTAAGAAAATGTTTCAGGGATTCATCTAACATCAGAAGATCTATCATTAAATAGGAGGGGCAGAAATGTTAAATGTAGGATCCATACTCTCAATATATGCAAAATAATCTCTTCATCCTTCATATAAAGGAAATGGGAATGGGATTTAGCAAATATGGGGTTAACAATCCTGAAAGCAAAATGGACGTGGGCATTAAGACATTCCAAAAATGTTTATTAGTGTGAACCTGAAAGATATATTGCCTGCCTGCTCGCCTTCTATCTCTTGCAACTCCATCCACCAGCCTCTCTTTTCTTCCCTCCAAGCTAAGCTTTGCACTCTACAACACTTACAACAGTGCCAACAACTAACTAGTGATGTGGAACTGCACCGCTGCTCTGATGGCCAACGCAAGTGGTGTCATGGGCCAGGAGTCGGCTTCACCTACTGAGCAGCAGCCTGAAGTAGCAGACGGCAAAGTGACTCCACCTGCTGCTGATCATCCTTTTTGCTCCTGAAGAGAACCTCCTGGCTCCAGCTTTCTTAAGCAGGGTTTCCAGCCTCAGTCAGTTGCTGGAAACAACTTTTGTCATTCCTGACTAGACCTTGCTGCTCATGGTCTTCTCGTGACCTTGGTTCTCGTGACCTTGGCCCCTTGACTTTCTTGATCCCCAGATTGTCTGACTATGTGAACTGTAATACTCCTGAGGTTAGGACTGGATTGAACCGTCCACCCCATTGAGCGTCCATTCCGCTGAACGTCTGCAGCAAATCCAGAAGTACGGGAACGGGTTACTTCTGGGTTTGCCGCTTGAGAATGCGTGTGTGTGCAGAACAGCCCTTTGTCATGCATCCCTATCACTGAGCATCTGGGACTCTGCCTCCAGTCCAGTACCCCCCTGAGATGTGGCTGGTTGGCTGGCTGCTCCCTCCTCAGAGGGAGCACAGGACCATGACATGCCTTGCCCTGCAGCCCATGGAGTACTTGGATGGGCAGCCGGATTTCAAGCCACTCTGAGCAAGGCATGATTTGGGGGGCTCCTCCTGGGTCCGTGGCAGGGGCCTACCTGACAAACACCTCCCTACACTCCTGCTTCTGTCATTCCAATTCAATACTAGGGTCTCAAGTGGCATCAGAAAAACTCATGAAGATTACAATGTTCATTCACAAAGATACAGTTAGTTTAGCATTCTATCTAATGCCACTATGTGGAGAGCTGCCTTGAACAAACAAACATATTGGACAACATTCTTTGCTAGCCATTGGTCCTTCTTAGTTTGGCATGTCGTCCTTGCATGTTGCTCTTTTCAAAGGAATGGTTCATTTCATATTTACTAATACAGTGGTACCTCAGTTCTTGAACTTAATCTGTTCCAGAAGTCCGTTCGACTCCCGAAGCTGTTAAAAAAACCCAAGGCATGACTTCTGATTGGGTGCAGGAGCTTCCTGTACTCAAGTGGAAGCCACATCAGACGTTCAACTTCCTGAAAACATTCGCAAACCAGAACTCCTACTTCAAGGTTTGTGGAATTCGGGCGTCGATTTGTTCAGGAGCCAAGCCATTCGAGAACCAAGGTACCACTGTAGAATTATTAGTAGCAGTGTTATTAGTAGTGGGCAGCACTTCCCTTTTCTCCTCAAGTAGCAAAACGAGACATGCCACCCCATATGCATTGATTCCCTTACCTGAGTGAAGACTCTGTGCCATTGAATTCCGTTCCCGTTAATGGTGAGCTCTTTTCCAGGAGGGGCCTGAGGATCCAGCTTTCCGACTTTGACCCTGACATAGGAATTATTTGGGAAAGTGACCAGGTTTGTAATATCAAATCCACCTGCTAATTCTCCATGTTCATTTAATGTGATCTCATCCCCAGCACTGTTGTTGAATGAGATTCTGTGCAGAAATGAGTGCAGCTAGGTGGAAAGAGAATCAAAAGGTCTATGTAGTCTTGTAATAGCCTTACTAAGACAATTCAATAGTTTTCATGGAAAAAATTAAGTTCTTTTCCTCCAGGGGTCCCCCCACTTCAGTTTCCAATGGAGAGCACCCAGATTTCAACAGCAGATCAAATAGAGAGGGAAATCATAAATCAGTGTAAACTCAACAGTCATGAGATATAATAAATAGCAAGATGAAAGATTTTTTTTATTATTAAAAGATGATCCAAAAAGAGCTTCCTGAAGAGAATCAAGTCTTTTTGTCTTAAGGCAGTCTTTAAAAGAATCTCTTTTCCCAATTTTAAAAAAATAATTCCAGTAGCACCTTAAAGACCAACTAAATATAAGCTTTCTAGGTATGAGGTTTTGTGTGCATACACACATCTTCAGATACTCTGAAGCTGAGGTCACTACACCCTTATAACTGTTGATGACTGTTAATGATGGCAGTTGGTTCCACAGGGAACGGCAAGGGATGTAAGGTGCTACTGGAATTATAAATATTTTTTGGCAAGTATTCTTTTAAAGACTGTCTTAAGAAAAAAAGACTTGATTCTCTTAAGGGAGTTCTTTTTGGATCATCTTTTAATATTTTTTTAAAAAATCTTTCATCTTGTTATTTATTATGACTATGACAGACCAACACGGCTACCTACCTGTCAGGGAACTGACACCGGAGCTAGAGGCGGAGGGAAGGGTCTCAAATGATGCTGGAGAAGGGCCCAGCAGGGAGAGAGGCAGCTCCGCAGATGGGGAAGCAAATCAGCGCAACACCAGGGATAAAGGGGGGCAGATGGGGGGAATCGGCGAGAGGGCTCCAGGACTCTTCACCGGACACCAGCGGGGAGAGCACTGGTCCCCCGCTACCCACGCCCACCCTGCGCAGAAGACTTCCGCGCAGAGAGAGTAGGAGGAGACTGGGTGTCAAACAATTTTTATGTTGGAAAAGATTTAAGAAACGCCCACTGACGGATTCTGCTAGCGACTGAGGCAGCCACGAAGTGAAGGGCTGCCCAGACTGAAAGGTTTACCAAGGCAACAAAGCCTGGAGAGGCGGCAACTTACGCACGAGCAACCCATACTCATTATACTACCTGAATCTATAGTCATGAAATATGTATATAAAGGATGTAGACCTGTTTGCTTCAGAGCAGCCTTTGATAAGATTCAAGATATAGAAGGGATTTGAGATGATGGGCAGGAAAAGAGTCAGGTGCTCGTGTTCTCAAGACATTATATTACTGCAACATGGAAACGTGTAGCTATAGCCCTCATGTTAGGAGCTGGAGTTTCTTAGTTCAGGGCATCCATGATTTCTGTATGTGTGTAGCTGTATGCTGCTCTGTATTAGTTACTGTGCCTTTAGTCAATGTATGCCCTCTTCTGATAACCAAGAAACCTCTTTTTGAGCAGTCTTGTGTTAGTATATGTTCCTTGGTAATAGGGACTAATTAGGACACACAGTAGAGCAGTGTGCAATTGTTTCCCCATATGAAAGTCCTCACCTCTAAAGGGAATATGTTCTAGGTGGACATGTGAAGGGGCTCCCACAGCAATCAATGGCAGACTAGCTACAACTTTTGCCATGCCTCTAGATGTACTGGACTCTTCCACTAGCCATCACATATCCAACACAAGTGGAGGCATCAGCTCTTGGCTACAGCATGTCACATGCTTTGTTCTACACAGGACATAAATGAGAGGGGTTGTGTTGAAGATATACAAAATGTCCCTAGAATTCATGCTCTGCTATAAGAAAGCAGCCTGCCACTGACAACGAATCTTTGCTGACCATGCTTAAAGCTTGGAAGGAAGAAGTAGGTAAACTGTCCCTAAACCCATCCCTACTAATAACCCTGGCACACCACCCACTATTCCACCATGCAGCACAAAATCTCCAGATAAAAACATGGCAGGCCAAAGGCTTATACCGCCTAGCAGACTTCTACAAAAACAGCAAACCCTTATCAACACAAGAAATACAAGGCAAACTAGGGGCTACCCAGATGTCCTGGCTATCCCATCACCAAGTACATGCCCTGCTAAATAACCCAGTAGTAATATCTGCATAAACCAGGCCCTTGACAACCTTCAAAAACCTCCTCCTAACATCAAACTGACACAGCAAAGGTATGGTATCCACAATATATGAAATACTGCTCCAAAATCCCACATCCCCCTTGAAATAATAAAAAAAAATGGGAGGACAACATAGGCCATGAGATTAACCCCACCCAATGGACCAAAATGTGGTCTAAACCTCCTTTTAAATCCATATCAGCAAAAAGGAAAGATCTCACTCTGAAACTCACTTACAGATGGTACCTAACACCATGGAAACTAGCACTAATACACCCAGGAACCTCACCAAGATGCTCAAGAGGATGCACCTCCACAGGCACATACTTTTATATATGGTGGGAATGTCCCCTAATCCAGCCCTTCTGGACAGCAATGATACAAGAAATATGCAAAATAACTAAGCAGGTATTAGTAGTCACCACAGAACTGACCCTAACTAAACATATTCCAAGATAATAATGCCCACTCACATGGTAAAGAGCTGATAACCCACCTACTCTCAGCAGCCAGAAACATCATAGCCAGGCCCTGGAAAGACCAGTGGTATAAAATAGTATGGGAAACAGCCTTATTAGAAAAATGAACCAATAAACTGAAACTGACATGGGGACAAATAGAAGAAGACGCCTTCACCCCGTTATGGTTCCCCTTTATCACATACGTAGCCTGACAACACAATAACAAGAATCTGCCAACAGCATACAAATCAATCTGGCTAACCTGATTCAAAAATACCCCCCTACCTCACTACAGTTAACCAAAGACAAACAACCACACCCTCAGCCACCCCCAACCTCTCTCAACACCAAGCAAATATAACAAGTGAATAGTCAGAGAACCCATACAAGTAACGCTGACCCAAAACCCCACACATACACTAAGTAGAAGAATAGAAGAATAACCACCCGACCCATTCCCCCATCCCCTCTTTCCCCCTCTTTTCTTCCTAACAAAAAACCACTCTGTTCTATCCCCATTGTTTCTCCTTTGTTTAAACCAATTCATGAACCAAGAACTTATACATTGACTAATGAAACATATGTTGCAGATATTACTCCACATTTATTATGCTATTTTTGTGATATACAAAAGACATGAGAAAATTGGTATACTTATTTGTATAACATTATTCTTGTTTATAAAACCCAATAAAAAGTTATTTTTTTAAAAAAATCTTTGCTTTTATGGAAGTCAGACAAGGCATGTTCAAGCAAATATTTTCTAGAATCATAGGATCGTATAATCATAGAGTTGGAAGGGATCACAATAAAATTACTTATTGTTCATTTTGATGTATTAAGATTTATTATTTTATTTATTATAAATAAATCACAACCCATATTGTACATCAATGGATTGCAAAACACTGAGCGTGTTATAAAGTAAAGACTTTGTAACAGGAAACATTACCTGCCAAGGCTCTACATTCTGAAGAAAGAGTCTGTTTCCACCCTTTAACCTTTTGCAGATGGCTTCAGATGAGTACCTAATATGTAATGCATGTGCCAGAGCATAGACAGCATTATAGATACTGTAGCTGTGGCCAGTCATGCTCATTTCAAAAAATGGTGCAGGGAGGCTGTCCAGCAACTCCTCTCCAGTACATGTACCGAAAATAGCTGCCATTGCAGTGGCGTTTGAAAGTGAACAACCAAATGCTTGTTCCCAGAAATCCTTGATAAAACCATATGTATCTTGTCCAGAAGGCTTTACACTGTGCAGAAAGTCTGAGAAGTCTTGAATCTCCTTGGAGTGAATTGTAATGGAAATAGCACCTTGGAGCACTTGTATATTAGGGTCAATACCTTTTCTTGCAACATTTGATATGAAATCTATCTGGGCTGCTGTAATCCATACTTTCCCTTCAGGTTCTTTCCTCACAGATTGATGAAGAATTAGCTGAATCATATTCCTTGCAGTAAACACAGCTGTAAGCCATATAATCGATGTACTTTCTCCATATATAACAACTGCATTTGCTTTGCTTTTTATGAAAGCTTGTGAGAAAAGCTTTGATTGATCCACCATATCAAATATTTTACCGCTGAATTGCAGATAGTATTCTGTTCTTTCTGTGAATGCTGAACAGATTCCATTCTTGAAGAGCATTGGTTCAATGGTCTTCAAGAATTGTTCTCCAGCTTCATTAGCTGGAGTGATGAGCCCAACCCATTTCCATCTGAAATGCAGAAGTAACTGGATAATTCCCTTGTACTGAAGATCTTCATTGGGGACCATTTGATAAAAGGAAGCAAATTTGATGTGATCATTTATGGCCAGTTCAAATGAACCATATGAAATCTGAAGAAGAAAAAAGCCAAACTTTTCCATGTGGAAACGAGAATTCACAACACACTCATTTATCTTATGTAAATTATATGCATTCCATCTTTCAAATCCACCCTCCCATTTACATAGAAAAACACACAAAACAAACAATCTTGCTCATTTATTTATGTAGATATTAATTCCTATTATTGTGGAGTCATCACACGGATTGTGTCAAAGTCAGGAGAGCATTTATCCCTGCTCATTTCAACATACTACCTGGATAAATCAACAAAACTTGATTGTGGAAATGGAGGGAGACAAACCATTGTTCATGTTCTTTTGGTCTATAACCTGGTTTTTATACTAAGAACTCTCATGGGAGTTCTCCTGTAGGTTTCCTGAATATAATGCGTTTTATTCTTCTGTGATCAACAATAAATCATATCCTATAAAATGTAAGTAAAATACCAGCAGAAATTAAGGCAATTAAAATGAAGTTCAGTAATGTAGTAGAACAACACAAAATTGGTACCACTATTTCTCTATCTCCAAATGCCAGAAAAATAACAAGAAAATTGCTTTTCATTAGCCTCTGAAAGTGGACAGAGCTGAATAACATCACACTTCCACAAGGTGGGAATTTCATGATTCCTAGGGAAGAAGAAGAAGAAGAGTTTGGGTTTGATATCCCGCTTTATCACTACCCGAAGGAGTCTCAAAGAGGCTAATGTTCTCCTTTCCCTTCCTCCCCCACAACAAACACTCTGTGAGGTGAGTCGGGTTGAGAGACTCCAGAGAAGTGTAACTGGTCCAAGGTCACCCAGCAGCTGCATGTGGAGGAGCCGAGATGCGAACCCGGTTCTCCAGATTACGAATCTACCACTCTTAACCACTATACCACCCTGGCTGGGAGAGAGCCATTCTTGTCCTGAGTTATTTATGCCTGTGCAAGCGATTATCAACAGCATGAATTGGGATTGGTGCTTTTCAGACATCTAGGACAATGCTTGCAGGATTGAAATAATGTGAGCCCAATCCTTTACTAAATATATTAAACACACATGTTTCGAAACATGACTCTCTCATAAAAGTTGGTTTATGCACTTACTAACCCCCACAAATATATCAATATATTGCAACCATTTTCCTTTTTCAACTTGATACTTTTGAATCATCAGCTTCCTAATGGAAGTGTAGAGTGAACTACGGTAAGAAATATCTATTTTTTGTACCTGTGGAATCTTGTAAAGACCTAAGACATCTGCCATGGATGAGGAGGTGTCAGAGCTAAGTCCCCCAATGACTCCTACTACTTTTTTCTGAATTCCACACATGTAGTTGGGGACAAAGTGATGTGATTTAAAGAGCAGATCCAGTGTGTTTTTGTAGGTCATCCTTGAATCAGAATAGGAATCATAGATGTGGAATCCAAGTGTGACATTGGGCA